GCAAATCTTGGCTCTGTAAAGTTTGTACGTTAACGATCATCTTTCCAACACCAGTTTGGCGATCCCATCGATGGTTTGAGCAACTGTTCTTGCCTTATGAAAGGTAAAACCATGTTTTTGTTGTTGTACGTGGCCGTATACCTTCTCTACTTCTACTCCCTACCTCTCTTCCTCTTCCCTTGCACAACCTGCTCTATCATGTTCATCTCCGATCTGTTTTCCTTTTCAGCACTGCGCGCATCCCATCTCAGGCGGCCGACAGCTAGGCGGTTGCCTGTCGCTGCAGTGGGAGAGTGAGGTCGACCCTCGGCCCTTTTCTTTCCTCACGATAATGAATCCAGTGCGCTTGAATCTATCGCGGTGCGCTAGAAGCCGTGGCTTGGAGGGTTGCCAACTGGCGGGTTAACTTGGACACCGCAGTCAGTTCAGTGTGTCTTGTTGTGTGGTATGGCTGTCTGTAGAATGAGAGTCAGATTCAATGGCTCCTTCTTAATGTGACCTTTATGGCACTCCCTGTCCGGAGCATACCTAGCGAGACGTGCCGTTTGGTACGCGTGTCGAGTGTTTGTCACGCCAGCTGTCTGCGCTTTCCCGCATTTCCGGCGTTCTTGAATCTGTCTTGACATCGGTTCCCGGTGCGGGTGTGGTCAGAGAGTATTGTAGACCCGGCGAGTTTGTCTTGAGTATAATCAGCCACAGTCACCTCATGCTTCAACTCGTTGAAGTTCGTAGTGGATATAGTCGTGTATATCAAAGATAGCTTGTCCCTGTGGTTGACTGGAAGCTGGTGTTTTGGCAGTGTTGTACCAAGGAGTCTGTCCGTTTCACCAGCATACAGTACACCACAATCTTTTGTATCGTATACCTTAGATGACCGCCGATTTTTCGGTAACCAACAGCAGGTAGTTGCTATTCATGACCTGCTGTCTGAGATTTGATTCCGGTTTGTGAGCACGCCGATCCCGAACGGTTTTTCGGATTCTTGCAATCGCGTCTGAAGCCTTCTTCACCTAGGAAATTGAGAGCCAGAACCTTTGCGATAGGACAATCTTCCACTTACGCTCAGCTAAAGTTCATGCACTGCTGACTTGACGAGAACGTCTTAAATAAATGCCTCGGTTATAGAGAGATTGCACACGCTGACTTGTGCTAACATATGGTGGCAGATTTCAAAAAGCAGATAATCAGAGTGCTGATACAAGACAGTATAGTGGGTCCTTAATGTACGCTGATGATTTAAACGTTGTCTTTCGATTTAAACCTGCAGTTGGCAGCATCGTGTTTGAGCTCTTAAAAATGAACCTTTAAGCCTTCACCCAGTGGTGATGCAATAGCGTCTTTCCCTTTCTTGCCACAAATGCTTCCTTATTGTCGTTGGCTACGAGCATCCGCCTCATCTAAATATAAATGACCACGAACTTAATGCGCCCGGGGTTAGTAAGACTCTGGGCATATCATATTCTAATGGCCTATATCTGTCACAGCACTGCGTCCTGACTGTCTTGAAAGCACGCCTATCTATCGGTTTTTTCGGATATTAAAAAACCATAAATGTTAGAACCAGCTTTATGAAATGTACGTTAGCCCTAGTCTGAAATACTATCAGTTTCTATGTAGCCTTTTGTGTGCTAGTAAACCTTGTATTCCTTTCGCAATCACGGACGCGACGCCTAGACTGCATATGCTACATGGGAAGGAATAAAGATCGCGTATATTTTTCTAAATAGTTCTTTATCGATATCGACAGATATACTTTTGATGGCAAAGAGGACACTGGTTGCACTCTTTGCGGGCCCCAGCACACTGCGAAGAGGTCTTCAGAGATGGCACAATTGTGATTCCTAGGTCTTTTTGTACGGTTCGTCATTTGAATTAGGGACACTTCCATCGGAATAGAAGACGGCAAATATGTGCCCGTTATACAAGAGATGGGCTCAAACGAAGTTTAAGAAATATCGGCCCTTCAGCCTATATTTGTATTTGATGTGCATTGATGGAAACCATAATTAGGGGGGGG